CTAATGAAGCCCGGGAAATTCAAATCCCGGGCTTCATTAGCAAGTGCGGTATGCATACATTACCCCGCTAGTTCCAACTAGCGGGGTAGTGTAGACATACCCTCAGTCCTCCTCTAATGCCCTGCCGGCACTGCTTCCGGCCATCCTTAAGCCTGGTTCAAAGTCCACGTAATGTGGACATGCTAGTTCGAATTAGTAAAACGCTAATTCGAACTAGTTTTTTAGTCTGGATCTGTTCGAATTAGCTTAGTTCAAATTAACCAATTCACACTAAGTTAGTCCGAATTAACGTTGTAGTGTAGACGTACCCTCAGTGTCTCATGGTCACTAACTGCAATTCTCTGGGGAGGTTCTCTGGGCATGTTTTCCAAGCAATCGTGTCTTATCCAGGTGTGGAGGATGTCCTGGGGATCCACACTAGGGCAGGGGTGGGGAAGAATTAGGAAGGTCCTTTCCCTTTCTATGTGCTTTGATTCTGGGATCAAGGGAAATCTCCATACCCAGAAAAGGTCTCCCAGGCTGGCTGCTGAAGGACTTTAAACAATCTTTGTCTTCTCCGGAATCTCTCTGCTCTTCAAATACCCTCCGGAGTGAGAGTTTGAGAGAGCCACGGAATCGCCGCTTCCCGTAGCTCCCGACTAGAAAGTAAATAAAGGGGTTGATGCTGCTGCTTGCACAGGCCAGCATGTGAAATATCGGAGAGGGCTTAATAATGTGCGGGTAGGAGAGGAAAATCGCAAAACTGTGAGGGAGAGTGAAGAGGAGGAAGAAGAGGACGGTGAGCAGGATGACAACATAGAGCTTGCCGGGCGGGCGCCGCTGGGAGCTCCAACGCACCTTGATAAACAGAGTCAGACTAGACAGAACCATGATGGGGGAGAATATCAGGACATTCGGAGCAAAGATGTACAGGAGGGGATGTGCACAGAATTCCTTGGAGAAAAACTGACAAAAAACGCCTATGGAACAGTACAGCAGGAAGGGGAGAGCCCAGAGCAGGGCAGACACGATGGCAGACAAGTGCCTTGGCCGGCGACATCGGTACCAGATGGGGCAGAGGACGGACACGCACCTCTCAGTGCTGATGGCTGTCAGGAGGTACACGCTGGTGCTGTTCATCCATAGACTCAGCATTGTAAGCAGGAATAATATGTAAAAAACCTCCGGATTGTCACAAAATGGATATTGCACCATATAAACTACAACATAGACAACCGAGAAGAGGAGGAAGCCAGTGTCGGCGACGGCCAGGTTGAGGACGTAGACGGTGAAGGGGTTCCTCTTCATGCGGAAGCCGGCAGATGATCAGAGTGATGCTCAGAATGGTCCCATTAGGGGCCCGAATCCCTGGGCATCCAGTGTCATTATATGAAGCTTTGGAATCCAGGCTAGAGGCTGTTGGTGGCAGGGTCTCTGTGCTCAGTACAGCAGTATAAACCATAAGTACAAAACCTTAGGATTGTCACAAAACAGATATCGCACCGTGTAAGCGGCACGATGGGCGACCGAGAAGAGGAGGAAGCCAGTGTCGGCGATGGCCAGGTTGAGGACGTAGACGGTGAAGGGGGTCCTCTTCATGCAGAAGCCCAGGAACCAGATGACGATCCCGTTCCCCACCAGCCCCAACAGGCAGATGAGCAGGCTGACACTCTTGATGGTCACCTCAGGGGCATGGAGCTTTGCGCATCCAGTGTGGTTATCTGTGGACAAGGACAGAGAGAGAGAGACATGTGACAGGATGTTGGCTGGCCATGGATGGTCAGGAAACAACATGCGGGAGGGCTGGCACGATGACGGCACTGGAAGTGCTTTGAGATGTGCTTAGGAGACTCTTCTTCAATATTTTGAACGGGAAATCTCATAAAGAAATAGTAAACAAAATTTGTTATCATTAATATTGACTCATGAAATGAAATAGTTGTTATAGTTTATGCTTGAAATTAAGGATTATGCCCCTTGACTTGACACGTATGGAAAAAACGTTAGCATCTTTACATATGCAAAAGTGTACTGACTGTCTCTTTTGTGTTGTGACTTGTGAAAAAAAAATTAAACATTTTGTTTTGATGCAAGGATTTAGCAGAGCACTAATCACAGTTACTAGAATGAGACTTATAGCCACGAGTTGTCACTGCCAGGCTAGATAATGGGGCCGTTACTTGCTGCTGGTTAGCATGATGAATCTTGGTGTTCCTCCCCTACGAGCTTCCTGCTGGCTGTGCAGCATGTGGGAGGGAGAAGAGGGGGGTGCTGATGTCAGGGTGTCCCTCCTCCCCCCAATTCTGTACCCTGTCTCCACACAGAGAGAAGGGGATGGAGGGAACTTGGCCATGCAAATCTGTCGCTCACACACTGTGTCTCTGTCATTCTCACAAACACACACTCAGGGGTGGCAGGTTTGTATAATTTTTGGTGGTGACCCACTAGCCACACCCCTGGATCCCTGTTAACCAAACCCCGACCCCTATTAGCCCCACCCCCGACCTCTTTTAACCATGCCCCTGACTCCCATTAGCCGGTCCCACCAGACGGAACTGGTGTCCGGTCTCCAAACTCGCCTCTCCAGGAATAAGTTGGGGGGCAAGGGCAGCAGGGCTGCAGCCTGAGCGAGGGGCTCACAGCTGGGCTCAGAATCCAGCTCTGCTGCCAAGCTCATCCTGATCTCCTGAGCATGCAGCAGAGCTTCCAGCAGCACCGTGTGGGGCCATCGCCTGCCCAGGGGCAGCTCAGGCTCCAAGGCTAAAAAAGGCAAATTAACACACAAACAAAAGAACAAAAGAAACAAACGAACAGACAGAAATACAAAGAAACTAAAAACCGAAAAAGCCCAAACCCAAACAAACAAGCAGACACACACACAAAGTAACAAACCAGAAAATAAGCAGCTGTGGTGTCCGACAATGCAGGTCAACCAGAGCCAGAAAAACTGCAGCAGCTTTGCGTTCCCTGTATCAGGTAGGCAAGCCAGAAGCAGGAGCAGAGCTACGGCTGTCCAGGAGTATCCCTTTAAGCACGCGTCCCTGCAGAGAGCACGCAGCAGTGCCTGGGCTTTATGGCTGCCCCCGTGACCTTTCAGAAGCACTTCCGGGTGCCTTCTTTTGTCGACAGAGCATCCCGCAGACTGGACGCTCATTGTCGGGAAAACTCATCGCTTTGTCGACAATGGGATGTAGTCTGGACGCTCTGGGTGTGTCTAAACTAGGGTATGTCTACACTACCACCCTAGTTCGAACTAGAGTGGTTAATGTAGGCAACAGAAGTTGCAAATGAAGCCCGGGATTTGACTTTCCCGGGCTTCATTTGCATCTTGCCGGGCGCCGCCATTTTTAAAGCCCCGCTAGTTCGGACTCCGTTCCCGCGGCTACACGCGGCACGGAGTAGGTAGTTCGGATTAGGCTTCCTATTCCGAACTACCAGTACACCTCATTCGGGGCAGTCTGGACGCTCCCTCGTCGACATGAAAGCCCTTTGTCAACCTCCCTCTTATGCCTCGTGGTATGAGATTTACCAGGGAGGTCGACAAAGGGCTTTCATGTCAACGGGGGAGTGTCCAGACTGCCCGGATCTGCCAACAAACAGCTGATCATCAGCTGGTCAGCTGAGCGTGGCAGCCATTTACATTTAAATGAAGCTGCGATTATTTAAATCGCGGCTTCATTTCCCTCTGCCAATAAGCCTCGTCTACATGGCTCCGTCGACGGAGCCATGTAGTTTAGACACACCTTCTATGTCAACATAAGTTTTGTCGACAGATTCTGTCGACAAATCTTATGTCGACGTAAGCCTGTAGTCTAGATATACCCCCGATACATCCCCAGCCTGCCTCCACTGAAACCCTGCTCTAGGGATGTAAGAAGCGCAGCAGTCCTGAATCCAGTGTGAGCCAGGACACAGCACTCCCTGCTTACGCCAAGTCTCCCACTGCACCTCTGGCTTTTCAATGTAGAGAAGTAAGCTCTGCAGAGTGCACTGCTTGGGTCAATCATACAGTCTCCGTAGACCTCTGAGAACTGTGGGTGTTTAAGATGAGAGAAAAAATTCTGCATTTAATTTTCCTCTTGCAGGTTTCTCCTCCCCAACACTTTCAACCCTGCACTTTTCTCCTATTCTGATATATTGTAGGAAACAATCTTGTACAGTCCACCCTGTGCACATTGACCCAGCGGATATTTTCCATCTCTAGTGTCTAACTAAACTGCACCCCAGAGAAAAAGACACGCCTCCCTCCCCCCGGGGCTTTCTTTCATTGTCAGCAATAAAACTACAATTTAAAATTGGAGTTCAGTCCAGTGATAGCATGGGCCAGTGTTCTTCTCCCCACAGCAAAACACTCTCAGACTGTGATTCCTCTTGGGATGCAGGATGAGTGGGGAGCTGTCTCTCAGGCTAAGAGGCATCAGCCTGGAATAAACCCTTTTTCCTCCTTTTCAAATTAATCAGCCTGACCTGTAGACCAATGTTAAGGCTCAAAACCAGTGACCAAGGTTAGCTGTTCAGCTGCATTTGTATATGCACTGCACATTTCTTCACCACTCCGAATATTTTAGTTGACACAGTTTGTGTATAATTTTACAGCCTGTATTCAAACTCTTTTCTTGAAGGTGAATCTGTCAGCACCAGCTTCAGGGGGTAGGCAAATTAGTCTGTACCGGATAAACTTAAAAACAACAAATGGTCTGGTAGCTCTTTATAGACTCACAAAACATGTAGGCTGTGTCTACGCTGGGCCACTCATTCCAGAAAAGCAGCCGCTTTTCCAGAATAAGCTGCGAGCTGTCTACACTGGCCGCTTGCTTTTCCGGAAAAGCAACGACGATCTACTGTACCAAATCGGCCGTTTTTCCGGAAATGCTACGCTGCTCCTGCTCGGGCAAAAGTCCTTTTTCCAGAAAAACTTTTCCGGAAAAGGGCCAGTGTAGACAGCTTTTCCGGAAAAGCAGAAGAAATGGAAAAAAGCGCTTTGGACGGCGCGAGACCCCGTAGGAACTCTGGACTTCCTGGTTACCCAAGCTGTTAAAGATCTCGGAGGCTGCTGGGCGCACGTGGCAGGAGTGTGCCTCAGACCTGCGGCCTGAGGTTTGCCACGGCGCCCCTGTCCTGCCCAGCCAGCATCAGAAGCCAGCCATGGCAGCTCCGGGGGGGGAGCCCCCTGCACCCCCCGCTCAGGAGGCCCCCAGGGATGAAGCCCATAGGCTGACGTCTTATGGGGTACACCCCCGTCAGCCAGACCAAGACTGTCACGCAGTCTGAGTCCTTAGGGCCCTGGGCTGGGGCCCGTGAGTGAGGGTGGGCCCGGGCCCCTCTTTCCCCCTCTTCCACCCGGGGGAGCATGTACGACAGGAAGTGTCCAACAGAGACGGGCTAGGGAGCCCGACGGCGGAAGGGCCGGATGTCCCAGGACGGGTAGGACTAGGGGCGTCGGACCCACAACCCCCCTACGCCCCTTCTTAGAGTTAAAAGGGGTGGTAGGGCGGTTACATGCACATAAAAATGCAGCTGGACAGCTGACCTAAGTCAGTGGTTTTGAGCCTTAACATTGGTCTACAGGTTAGGCTGATTAATCTGAAAAGGAGGAAAAAGGGTTTATTCCAGGCTGATGCCTCTTAGCCTGAGAGACAGCTCCCCACTCACCCTGCATCCCAAGAGGAATCACAGTCTGAGTGTGTTTTGCTGTGGGGAGAAGAACACTGGCCCATGCTATCACTGGACTGAACTCCAATTTTAAATTGTAGTTTTATTGCTGACAATGAAAGAAAGCCCCGGGGGGAGGGAGGCGTGTCTTTTTCTCTGGGGTGCAGTTTAGTTAGACACTAGAGATGGAAAATATCCGCTGGGTCAATGTGCACAGGGTGGACTGTACAAGATTGTTTCCTACAATATATCAGAATAGGAGAAAAGTGCAGGGTTGAAAGTGTTGGGGAGGAGAAACCTGCAAGAGGAAAATTAAATGCAGAATTTTTTCTCTCATCTTAAACACCCACAGTTCTCAGAGGTCTACGGAGACTGTATGATTGACCCAAGCAGTGCACTCTGCAGAGCTTACTTCTCTACATTGAAAAGCCAGAGGTGCAGTGGGAGACTTGGCGTAAGCAGGGAGTGCTGTGTCCTGGCTCACACTGGATTCAGGACTGCTGCGCTTCTTACATCCCTAGAGCAGGGTTTCAGTGGAGGCAGGCTGGGGATGTATCGGGGGTATATCTAGACTACAGGCTTACGTCGACATAAGATTTGTCGACAGAATCTGTCGACAAAACTTATGTTGACATAGAAGGTGTGTCTAAACTACATGGCTCCGTCGACGGAGCCATGTAGTTTAGACACACCTTCTATGTCAACATAAGTTTTGTCGACAGATTCTGTCGACAAATCTTATGTCGACGTAAGCCTGTAGTCTAGATATACCCCCGATACATCCCCAGCCTGCCTCCACTGAAACCCTGCTCTAGGGATGTAAGAAGCGCAGCAGTCCTGAATCCAGTGTGAGCCAGGACACAGCACTCCCTGCTTACGCCAAGTCTCCCACTGCACCTCTGGCTTTTCAATGTAGAGAAGTAAGCTCTGCAGAGTGCACTGCTTGGGTCAATCATACAGTCTCTGTAGACCTCTGAGAACTGTGGGTGTTTAAGATGAGAGAAAAAATTCTGCATTTAATTTTCCTCTTGCAGGTTTCTCCTCCCCAACACTTTCAACCCTGCACTTT